CTCCCTGGCGGGACCCACGGCTGCCGCTCACTGTTCATGTGTGTTTTTGGCTCCCTGCAGAGCAAAATGCTTCATGCTGTGTTGACACCTCATTGTGTGCAGCTCTTCTGCACATGAGCAATGTAAATGGGAGCCTGTGGTGGAGGGAGAACCTAAATCTGGTGCTGGGCCCTGTCCCCGGGCAGTGGTTTAAACCTTGCAATGGGTCTGATTTCTGGGTTTAATCCAGATAGGACAAAACCCCACTTTTCCCCACTCTCCTGCAGAGGGCAATCCTTCCTCACCAGACACTCGTCACATTTCCAAGAGCTGCAAAAATTGCAAGTCAGTGATTGAGCAATTTTAACCAAGAAACACAGTTCTTCCCTTTTTGAAGAGCTGCCTCTGGAGCCCCGGCCCTGCTGGGGCCCTGGTGCCGAGGGAGGACTTCTCTGCAGGAGTGCGGTTCTTCAGATCCAGCCAGGGCTGGATCCATGGGTGATCCTGGCCTTTGTGTGGATATTTCAGTTGACACAGGGCAAGATGGGCTTTTCCATTGCTCAGCTGCTGCTTGCTAGAAGTAGAAGAGCCCCAGTGCACTCCCACACCAAAGGTAACCTTGTCTATCAGGGCTTGGGCTGATCTGTGCGGCAGAGAACTGTTGTAGCAAGGTGGATTTTGAAGACCTAGATAAAGTTCTTTGTTCTGGTGGGAGTGAGGAGGTGCCGGGTGTGCTGATGGCAGCACGCACACACCTTTTCGGCTGGGATATCCCTGTGTCAAACTCGGGAATCGGCAACCCATCCCAAACGCCACAACTGCCTGTGCTGCCGTGGAGCTCGCAGGGGCCACGCGGTTTTCCGGGGGCTGCAGACGAGACGGATGCTGGGCCAGCGGGAGGCAGGATGAGCACGGAGGCCCTGTGGGTGCTCAAGATCTTGCATTTTTATCTGCTCTTTGGTCGCTTTGGATTTAGCCGTGTGTGAGGTTCCCATTTTAGCACTACAGACTGTTGGCACAAGAGTCGGCCCGGGCTGTTGAAACTCGTTCTGTGAAGGCCCCTCCCAGTGCAGAACTGTACCGAACTGGAGGTCATTAGCATGACATCCTAAAAGCAGGCTTGTTTCTTCCCTCCGCTCCCCCTATCCACAGAGCCTGTCTCATGTCAAGCCCGTCTGCATGTGCTTCATCCTGGAGACTTGAGTAGCTCCATTTAATTCCCAGTTTTTGCCCCTGATATTTATACCACAGCACAGCCACACGTACTAATCAACGCAAGCACAAAGTGTTGCGTTATTTGCTTCTGTTGCTGCTTAGGGATAACTTTCACCCTCAGCAGAAAGGAGAGCTCATGGCAAAAGGAAATCCTGAAGTGAGGTTTTACATTTCACTCCAAAAACACCCAAGCAACTGTCCACGCTGCTTCATGTGGCAGGGAGCTCTGGGTCCTGGGCAGCACCCGATGGCCTGTACAGAGAGTCATCAATCGGTATATTTGGGTGTACTCCCCCCAGACTTAACCAAAACTTGCACAGACTTCCTCAAGGACCTATGTATTTTCTGTGCAAGTTCCAACCCCTTCCAGCAACCCCTTCCAGCTTCTTTTGTTGCAATAGATTCTGCTGCATGACAAAACCCATCAATGAGTCGTTGTGAGAAAAGGCGTTTTTAAGGCAGATTTTTCCTTTCTTTTTGGACAAATAACCCCCCACTCTGTGAGTTTAGCAATGTGATTGCTATAAACTAACCCCAGCAGTTGCCCAATGGCAGCTTAAAACACCCTGCTGCTCACTCTGCATTGGGATGACTGTGTTCTCCAGGATATTGTGCGACTTCAGGCTCAAACTCTGCCTTTGAAAATACCAAAGACCACATGGAGTATCAGTCCTCTTCAATTCCTCTTAAAAGCAATGGAAAAAAAATCCCACAACCCTAATTTCAGAACTGAAATTACAGCATGAGACATTATACAGAGTTCTTAGGGCAAGCACACAAAAATGTTAGTTCGTGGCATGAATATGTGTTTGCTTTAGATTTAAAATGGACAGGAATGGCCATTAGCAGTTGAATTTCCAATAGCTCAATTTCTACCATTTGTTGACACTATTTTGTGGTTTCACTCTGGAGTTCATAGGAGACACTTCCCAGGATGTCTGCAAAATCATATTTAAAAATAAGATTAAGTTTTTTTCCATGACTTTAATGGTAAAGCTCTGAAGATCTGTTTAGTGCAGCTCCATGGTGTCCTACCAACTGCTGCGTCACAACACAATTATAAATAAACTGCATTAAAAATAGTCAGATACTTGTGATGGGGTGAAGGAGCCGCCTTGGGGCTGGTAACCGGAGCCCTGCCCAGCTTGGTAGCAGAGCCGCAGGTTCCAGAGGCTCCCTTTCTCCCTCCAAAGCATCTTTAGCCATGGGCTGGGCCCCCAAGCCCCAGGCCAGGCCACAGAGGTGAGGCCCACACTCAAAACCAGGGTGGTTCTTTGTAAAAATAAATAACACCACAAAGCAAGGGAGACTCAGGCCTTTAATTTTTATTGTTGCAGATGAGAAAAAATATCTGGCTTGTGACAGGCTCAGCGCGTGCAGGGAGCCACACGGAGCCTTCGTGGGCGGCCCACGGCACACACAGCAGCTGTGTCGGCGCCTGTCCTTGTCGTGAAGCTCACGCTGTGTTTCCACCCTGCACCCCCAATCCCACTCCCCAGTAAAACAGTTTTCAAAGCAAAGCTGATGCTTCCATGGCCACAATAGAGTCCTGCAGGCCCCCGGCAAAGACGCTCGAGTGAGCGTAGCGACCCCCGGGACATGGCTTCTTGTTTCAGAGCACGTGAAGATCTGCGTGCTGAGGAACCGTGCCGCGGTTTGATCACCGTGGATTCCGCAGGCCGCTCTGTGTCGAAGCTTTGCGCGGTGGCAGCAGTACATTCTGCTCAAGCTGCCGGCAGA